TTGAAAGGATAATTAAGTTAAAAAGAGGTTATAAGGATGAATACTACCTCGTTCTGATGTCTTTGTAAGAAAGGAAATCCAGACATTGACAAGCACAGAGACAATATGAATACACGTGGAGAACACGGTCATCTACAGAACAAAGAGGGAGGCCTCTGAAGCGACCAAACCTGCCATCAAATTCTCACAGTAGTGAGAATAAATATTTCTATGTTTAAGCCACCTACCTAGTCTGGTGCTTTGTTACAGTAGCCCTTGTTAAGTTTTCAAGGTCTACAACATAAGCTTAACCTGGCATGCAGAGACTTTCCCAATGATCTTTCTTTTCATGTCCCACCTTTCTCCACACCATCTAGAACACTGAATGTGTCCAGACTCCTACGGTGCTCTTGTCTGCTTCTCACTTTATCTTCTAAGTCTCAGACTCCATGGCCCTCACCCCAGGCAGCATGAGCTTCCCCTCCTCTGGGACCATGTGAGGTTCTGGAAAGGCAGACTGTCTGATGCATCTCCCTAGCCTCAGGTTCCATCACAAGGCACAGTAATGGGCACACGCCCATACACATATCTCAAGCCAAACTCAGCATGGGCAGAAAGGAAAATGTCAGGGAAACCTTCTCTGTCTTTCTTTCCTCACAGATGGAGAGCCTCTGATCATTATGTCACCACTTCAAGCTAGCACTTTGTCTCACCTCAAGTTTAAGGAAGGGCTGGCCCTGTGGAAACCAGGACAGTGAGAACACAACTTAGGAATTGAACTGTCTCTGCCATGTCCTTTCTCCTGGTGCCTTCAGTCTCTTACTCACTGATTTCTTTAGATTCCATATTCTGTCTCAACTAGGGTGCTGCTGTCTGGGGGGTTCCTGGGAGAGGCGGGGATTCTCTCTCTCTCTTTCTCTTTCTTTCTCCTGGGCCTGTATACAATTAAAACAACAACAGCAGAACATTCTTCCATGTAACCAGGGTAGACGGGCATCGACAGCTCCAGGTTTACATGGCAGTGTTTCAGCAGCCCAAGAGGACAAACAAATCCTCTCTTGAGGAAAGGACTCTGAACACCATTCTTGCCTCACAAGACTGCTCCTTGTACCAGCTGCTTTTCTTTCAAGAGGAGGAGGACTCTGTTTTCCCAGTGCTTAGGCAAGTTCTTCCTCCCCTGCTCGCAGTCCCATGCACAGCTACTCTGGCTAGGGGAATGGGCGTGGGGTCCTCCTAGACTTATTAGCTACAACACATGTTGCAGTGAGTGCTGACAAAGGTCTGCACACAAATGTTCATAGCATGTTATCACAGCCAGCTCCTGGACGTGACACAAATGTCTAGTCAGTGGGCGCTGAGATAAATAGTCTGTTACACAAACCCAGTGAAAGCTCAGCAACAGAAGGGAGTGAGCGTGTCACCCCAAGTAAACGTCAAGGGCAGCATGCTGTGCAAGAGAAGGCAGACTCAAAACCGCCCCGTGCCTGCTCCCTTTAATGGAATCTTTAGAAAGACACAACTGTACTGGGTTCCTAGAAGTGTGCGAGAGGTAGGCTTAGTAAGGTAATAGTAAAATCCTGGAGACTGAATGGTAGTGGTTTCACAGATTATACATTTGTCAACCACCAGTCTCAGGCCTACACTCACACAGACAGATGTTCTTAATGGCTCTTTACAATATATCTGTACAAAACAGGCACTGAGGGGCTGAAATGACATCTCAGGATAAGGAGCTGGGAACAGTCCCCAGGCTCTGGCTGTGCAGCCCGTCCCTCAGCGCACCCCTCTCCTCTTCAGCACTTTAGCATCATGTTAATTGCAATTCCTCAACACTTCTAAGCTGCCTTTCACCCAGGTGTTTACAGGGGCTGCCTGTCTGTCCCTCAAAGTCCACCCAACCAGAAGCTTTCTGCTTATTCAGTGCCAAAATGCTTGCGGAGTGGAGCCATCTTTGCTGACTTTCTGTCCTTTAGATCCTGAATATTCTATTGCTTTGTACATTGACTCCTTTACAATAGTGGAAACTCTCAAAAGAAAGCATGAAAGAACTTTCCTTCATAGAAATAAACTCTGGATGTTTAGACATCTGGAAAATGAGGCTGGAGATGCATCTCAGAGCAACAAAGACCCGGAATGACACAATCTTGTAATCTAACACATGGGAGATGAAGACAAGGGGACCAGCAGTTGAAGGCCATCCTCAGCTACATAGCAAGTTTGAGGCCAGCTTGGGCTACATGCAATGCAAAACAACAGAACAAAATACTTTGGAAAATGGAGACTTAAAACACCTGGGAGCCTGGCATTGTGATGGCATGACTTTAATCCCAGCACTCAAGGTTTAATTCCAGAACTTGGGGGGCTAGGGTAGGTGAATCTCTGTGAGTTTGAGGCCAGCCTGCTCTACACAGTGAGGTCCAGGACAGCCAGGGCCACACAGAGAAATCCTGTTTGAAGAAAAAACAAAATCCCTGGGGTTGAAGAAATGGTTCAGTAGTTAAACGTACTGGCTGCTTTTCCAGAGAACCTGAGTTTGGTTCCCAAAACCCACATGGAGACGAAGAACAATCTATAACTCCAATTCCAGAGGATCAGACATCCTTTTCTGACCTACAAGGGCACTGCATGTAGACATACATTTGCACACATGCAAGCAGAACACCAATACACATAAAAAAGGGGAAGGGGGAAGGGGGGAGAGAGGGAAAAAAGAAAGAGAAATCTGAGCTGGAAAGCTGGCTCCGTGGCTAAGAGTGCCCACTGCTCTTGTAGATGACTGTTTCTGACCACATGTTGGGAGGTTCACAACTGCCTGTAACTCCAGCTTCGGGGGGATCCGGTGCCATCTTCTGGCCTATGTGAGTACCTGCACTCATGTGTACATATCCTCACCACCACACACACAAATACACATATACATATTTTTAAATTAAAGATAAATCAAAATTAAAAAAAAACAACAACAAAAAAAACCCTAACTCTGTCCTTGCTTATATGCCAGAAACTGCACAACACATCTCACTCTTGGTTGAGAGTATTAACTTCTAGCTGTGGCATCAGCATTCCAGCAAGACAGTACAGTACATTATCAAGCATCTTGAATACTACCCCCAAACAGTTTTTTCTAATTATGAAGAGCTTTCTTGCTAATTATTAAATCCATATGTATTTCAAGAGGAATTTTACCCTTGTTTGCTTCATTCACACTCAATCCATCATGGTTACTTTTAGGAGCTATTTGATGTTCAAGAAGCCATTAGAATCCCCATAATGCTCATTTCTGAGAAAAAGGATGTGGGTAAAATTAAGCAAAACCAAATGTTAATAAAATCCTCAAAGAATAAACAGAATGTTATTGAGAAAAGTTATGATACACTGTTCAGTCTCTTCAGACTCCATCGAAGTCTGTGTGACTGGAGAGGCCTCACATCTTTATTCCACATTTTCTCCTGGGGCAGTGTTGGGGGTGGTGGAGGGTAGGGGTTGGGGGTCAGGGGAGGGGGAGGGCTGTGGAAAGATGAAAAAGGAATAGTTTGATGAGCACAGAAGTGTTTGGCACGCTGTATCCAGCAACATGTAAATCTAGATTGTCTGAAAACCCTCATGCTACAGAACATCAGTCATTGTTTACTATAATAACATAAGCACTATTTTAAGTGCACACTGAACTGGTAAGAAAGCAGAAGTCCAGATTATTTCTGTCTGTCTTTCTCTTTCTCTGTGCAAGGATGAAAAATATAGAGGGTCCTAAAACTTTGGGAGAAACAAATTATTTGGGTGAGGAAGTGGAGGACATCTGTTTAGAGGTAATAGAGGACCTGGTGCTTGGATTTTTAAAATGCCATAGTATAAATAAAATATATTCTTTTAAAAAGCAAACAAACAATAAACAACAAAATACAGGGACAGAAAAATGAAGCAGTTCCTGTTTATTGTCTAAAAGCTAATTCCTGTTTTTGTCCACCCCTTTGCTGGAGGGCCCTGGGATCGTAGGCTTCTGACCTTGGTATTTTTCCACCATACCTGACTTTGGTATATAAGGCTCTACTGTTGTAATAATAAATGCCATTCTCCTTGTAAGAATGAGCCGCTGTCTTTGTCTTTATTTTCATCCTTTATTTTCATCCGAGCCCTTAGCCTTGGATCATTGTGAAGTATGGTAGCACTGTAGCTACGAACACACCAGCAGCTCACTACAATAGGATAGATGGAGTATTTTCTTTAATTTTGCCAAATGCAAATAGACTAAATATTGTAACTGTAATTCTTGCTTGATAACTGTTTCATTATATGTAATTTTACTATGTTAAAATTTAAAAATTACCTTTTTTAATTAGACAGAAAAGAGGAGATGGTCTGGGATGTCCTTCTGTATGCTCTGAATATGTGCTGCTTTTATTGGTTGATGAATAAAGCTGTTTTGAGCAACAGCCAGGCAGAATAGAGCCAGGCAGGAAATCGATACAGAGTTATGTAGAGAAAGAAGACAGAGTCAGAGAGACATCCCATAGGAGTAACATGTCAGAGTATCACCAATAAGCCACAGTCTCATGGCAATACATATATTAGTAGAAATGGGTTAATTTATAAGAGAGAGCTAGCCAGTAATATGTCTGAGACATTGACCAAACAATTGTAATTGATATTAAACCTCGGAGTGTTATTTCATAAGTGGCTGCGGGAACTGACAGGAGAGACAGAAAACTTACAACTACACACAGGAAATGTGTTTTTTTAATGAGCTTTTAAATATTGTGAAATACAACTTTAAAGTGAAAACAATGTACAATAAAAACTCCACAGTTTGTGAGTCAGACCCTGAGTTTACTCAGGGGCAGGAAAACTGTGATGCTGAAGACATTACCACAAATCATAGTAGAATCATAAATAACGTGCTATGGAAGTTTGGTGGAGAAAAAAATGCTGTCCTATTGAAGGTATACAAGAAAAGGGAACCTGAGGGAGGAAAGAGGAAGAATATTCAAAAAGAATAAAACAACTGAAATTTTATTTTTGTTTAGAAGAATTATCTACTAGAAGAACGATACTGCATATTGGGAAATCAGGAACCTGAGAAGCATGAGACAAAGAAGAGGCATCCCTTCACGCTCAGAAGACCAGCATGAGATAGATAAAGAGGAGCCTGACGTCACCACGCACAGAAGAACAGCAACGACCCGAAGCCTCCACCTGGAGCACTTTAAACCGAAATGAGTATGACACCACTGGAAGGGACTTGAAGTACAATTTAGGGAAGATGACAGCAAGCGGGCCTTTTTTTTTTTTTCCTATCTTCCTTTGAAAAGGTGGTTAGCTAAAAAAGAAAATGTAGGCATTAACTATAGGATTTGGAACAGAAAAAAAAAACCTAGTGATTCCAAGACTTTATATTATTCAGGCCTTATAACTAAAATGTACATATTAAAAGATTAATTTTGAGCTTCCTGGCAGAATGTTTCTGGTCTGGTGTTGGGCTTGTTTTGATCCTGTGCTTTCAAAAGTATTAATTCTAAAAACTGAAGTTGATAAAAAAAAGTTACAAGATTTATAAGAAGTAAAATGACTTATAATACAGATTTAAAATAAAATAAGATGATCTTAATTTGTCATAAACATATCTTAGACTTAACTGAGTGTTTAAATACTGATAAATCTATATACTGCCTTATAAACCTAGGCAGTCTTAATTTCTTTGAAATCTATTGCAGTGGTAGCTAGGGTCTACTGACATGTTTCATGAAACATGATTGAAACACAGCATGAAGATGGGCTAGGGAGACAGTTCAGTGAGTAAAATACTTTCTTGTGCAAGAATGAAGATCTGAGTTTGGATCCTCAGGCACAGTAGCACACACATAACCTCATGCTAGGAGATAGAGACAGGTGGACTCAGGAATTTTCTGGCCACACATTTTAGAAAAAGAAAGTGAGCTCCAGTTTCAGCTAAAGATCCTATGACATTATATAATATTAATAATAATGTCGAGAGGAGATTAAGGAAGATACCCCAGCGTTAAATCTAGTCTCTACTCATACCTGCATAGATAAGTACACACACACACACACACACACACACGCGCGCGCGCGCACACACACACACACACACACACACACACACACACACGCAAACATGCAAATACGTAAGTAAGGTATTAAGAGCTGTTTGAGCTGGGCGGTGGTGGAACACGCCTTTATTCCCAGCACTCAGGAGGCAGAGGCAGGCAAATCTCTGTGAGTTTGGGACCAGCCTGGTCTAAAGAGCTAGTTCCAAGACAGCTATGGCTGTTATACAGAGAAACCCTGTTTCGAAAAACAAAGAGCTGTTTGATCTTCTAAAGAAAGTGTTTTTATTTTTAAAGATTCTATTTATTTCTATGTGCGTGTCGTGTGTGTGTGTGTGTGTGTGTGTGTGTGTGTGTGCAGGTGCACACCAGCAGCATAGATAAGATTCCCCAGAGCTGGAGTTAGAAGCATTTGGCGGTCTGAATTCTGGTTGGTCCTCATGACTGAGCAGCAAGCACTCCTAACTGCTAAGCCGTCTTTCCAGCCCCTAGAGCAAGTATTAGAGTATAGAGAGACAATAAATGTCTAAATGTTTTACTGAAAGTTCAATCTGTTTATATAAAACAGCATTACTCAGGATGATAAGATGTAAGTTTTGTTAAGTTACATAGTTTGTTTGCTGTTTTTCTTGTGCTGAGACAGGGCCTTATATAGTCTAAGCTACCCTTGACTCTCTGTGTATCTGTGGATAGACTTAAATTCTACCTCTTAAGTGGAAATACAGCATGAACCATCACACACAGCCTATGAGTCACAAATTCTGTATTGTGATTTTGATTAGAATTTTCTTGAAAAATTCTAGAAAGAGGTTAATTTTTAAGTAGCCAAATTTAAAAGAAAATGAGATGATATGACATGCTTTATATTAACCAAAATACTTCTAATGGACATAAAAACCTTTTATTAGATTATTCCTATGTGTTTGTCCTCTGGGAATACTCTCTGGGAATAATATATCAACAAATATTATTCGCAAACGTGAAATGTTAAAATTAAGGCTATGACACATATAAGTTATAGATATTTTTGTCAAGTATGATGTTTATACTAAATTTTCTTTTCATATTGGAAATTATAGGAGATGTATTCTGCACAAACAGTAACATTCAGGATCTAGGTGAACTTAGCCCGTGTATATTAGAAAAAGGACTATGCTATAAAGTCTTATAAAAAAGAGAGCTTTCCAATACTTGCATTTAAAGGGTGATTAAATTATTAAAATATGGGGATGGGGAGGTGGCTCAATGGTTAAAAGCATATGCCACTCTTTCAGAAGACAGGAGTTCAGGTCCAATAACGAGAGCAAGTGACTCATAACTCCAGCTCCAGGGGATCTGACACCCTCTACTGGCATCTGCAGGTACTGCATTCGAATCCACAAATGCACACTCACACACATATATACATATGAATATAAATAAAATCTCTTTTGTTAAAAGTTCAGAAATTGCCTCTTCCAGGGACAGTGCTTACAGGCACTCAGAATGGTCCTACGTTTCACATACTGTTGTAGGTTTTCCTACAATCCAGTCTCTAGCAAAACTAGGTATCTTGAACCCCTGGCAATAGGATTGTTTACCTTTATATCAAGAGGGTCGGGAAAGCACCAAAATCTGCATGTGGTGTGTATCCAGGCAAACTTGGATGGTTTTATAAAGTCCTTATGAGATTGTCTAAAACAGAGAAGCAGTCAGTAGGGCTTGCAATTGTCCTGTTTGTGCTCAGCATGCCCAAGACAGTGTTGAGCGTGCTTCCTTATTGAAAAGCAGAAAATCATAGTGAAAGTGTTGGAGGCACAAGCAGAGTCAGAAAGCAATGAGTATGAAGCTACATGATAAAAATCAAGGCTTGTTCAAAAGAGAAGAAAAGTTCAGATATGCTCCCAATTTTTTATCAAGCAAATAAAATATAATTTTAAGAAATGAACTTAGGACTAGCTTATAAGTACAGAAACTTTTGCATGGTTTCTGGTATTTGCTCCATGTGAAATTATGATTCTTTGTCATGTTGAGATGAACTGATTTAACTCTTAAAATAATAATAAAGTTGTCCCTCAAAATAATTCATTACCGGTAGATAGTACATTTTGTAATGCAATAAGATTGAATACTTTAATATTTAAATTGGTATGTATGTACATTGTGAAGTTTTCAAGGTGAACCCAGAACTGCTAACAAAAAGACAGTTTGAGCTATATCTCTCTGTTCATTGGGTCATTAGACACAAAATTTGTGTTGTAACAAAAAATGTTCTTATGATATGCTACATGGAATAATGATGTCTAAGTCACTGACAGATGCAACATGATGAAAATATTGGAGACTTTATTTTGTATGCTTTTTCAAGTATATGTTTTTTTGTTATTTTTCTTTTCTTTCTTTTTTAGCATGCTATATAAATGCTACACCACCACACTAGATTTCAAAACCTCTTCTTGTGTGAGAGGTAATGTTCCCACATGCAGATGCACATGTAGTTACGTGTGTCACGGAAGCAGAGGTCAACCTCAGATAGCAATGCTTGGGCACCATCCACTCTGGTTTTCATTTTTGTTTGAGACAGGGTCTTACTACATAGCCTTGTTTAGCCTGGAACTCTATGTAGACCAGGCTGGCCTCCCCAGTACTGGGATTAAAGGTGTGAGCCAGCCTATTTTTCTTTTTGACATAGTGTTTCTTACTGGCCTGCAGCTTGCTAAGTAACCTAGTCTGGCTGGCCGACAGACCCCAGAGATTCACCGGTCACCTCGTCTCCAGTGTTGCGTTGTAAACACACTATCGCAGCTGGCACCTTTTTACATGTAGGTTCTGGTCATTAAACTCAGGCAAGCACTTTTTCAATTGAGCTATCTCCCTAGCACCATAATCTTTTAAAACTTTTTTAGGGGCTAGTGAGATGGCTCAGTGGTTAAGAGCAGTAACTGCTTTTGCAGAAGACCTAAGTTTGGTTTCCAACACCCATACTGGGTGGCTCACAGACATCTGTAACTCCACCTCTAGGGAATCCAACACCCTCTTCTGGCCTCCATGGGCACTGCACATATGGTATGCACACACAGACACACAAACATATACACAAACATAAAATACATCTTAGAAAAACTTTCAGAAACAAGTCTCACTGAGTTGTTCAGGCTAAACTTGAACTCACTGTATGAGCAAGAAGGTCTTGAACTTGTAACTCTGCTGCCTCAGCCTCCCAAGCAGTTGGGATTGCAGGCCTGTGCCACCGGGACCAGCTTATGTTTTTAATAAATATATAGTGACCACATAATATAAATGCTCTCCATAATTTTTGAGGTTTACAGAGAAATATATCATACAAAAAGATTTATTTATATTTAATTAAAGTGACTGTAATGAAAATGCTATTAATATTTGTAATACTTTATATTCAAAGCAATTAGACTTTCTTAGAATATTGAACTGCTTTTAATAAAATTTAAAGAGGGCTAGCATTAAAAAAATAATAATTTAATGTTTTCTGTTTCTTGTTAATTTTGCCAGGCTTTTAACAGAATCAGGGCTCATTTAGGGAGGCAGGGTCTTACTATATAGCTCTGGAAGCCCTGAAACTCACTTTGTAGACCAGGCTGGCCTTGAACTCACAGAGATACCGTTGCCTCCCATATGATACCAACCTGACAGGCTGACATCTTTTAATGGTCACTTTATAGCTTTGCTTATAGTAGGAGTAATTGAAATACATAACATCTAGTCACAAGTCTGTTAATGGGCATTGATGCTATTTTCAAAAATTTTGTAAAGATGTTTCAAAATAGCTCTTTCCTTCCAGGGTTCCATATAGACATGCTCAAATCCAAGAACCACAGTACATACAACCAGTCCTGCAAATGTACAGTACAGAAATGGCATCAAGAAACCTGATCACAAAGATACTAATTTCTTAAGGGGTTCAACTCCAAGTATTCCTCAGGAAAAAAAATCATTTTTTCCAAGTACAGCAAAAGGAGCCTAAGAGGGTTCAGACAAGCAATGTGAAGGCCATGATGCCCATGCTGAGGTCCTTGTACAGTCTGAGGTGAAACCTAAGACTACAAATGGCGTGATTACAAGCCCCATGGAGTTGCTTTCACTGCCCACCCCAAGCCTGGAAGTTGTGTTTACACCTGCAATACCAAAAGTGAAAGGCTCTGCCAGCCAAAGGCAAAGGCCCCAGACAAGATCAGTGCTGCAGCTCCATCCCAGGAACGGGCCCAGGCTTCAGCTCCTGCTCCTGTTCCTCTCTAGCTCCCAAAGATGTTCAGGCTTCTATAAGGCCCTAACACCAAGGGCCTCTCTGCTGACAATGTGAAGGCAAAAGGACTTGAGTGACCCCACTGCCTCATCCCAGACATCCAGCTGCTTGTAGACAGCTGATGCCTTATGCTATTTTTACAAATATACTTGAGGTGGCTTCTTTTTCTTTTTTCATAGATGTTTCAAAATATAAATTTATGTAAGGGATCATCTAAGGTTAAAATAATGTAAAGCTAGAACTCAATTCTCTGTACCTAAAGCAACAAGATTTTCTTTAAAATATTACTCTGCTCTTAGTAACTCTGCTGGATAGTTTCATATCAGCTTGACACAGTCATCTGAGAGGATAGATCTTCGGTTGAGAAAATGCCCCTATAACATCTTGTTGTAGGGCATTTTCTTAGTTAGTGATGGGCGAGGGAGGGCCTAGCCCATTATGGGTGGTGCCATTCCTGGGCTTGTGGTCCTGGGTTCTATAAGCGAGCAGGCTGAGCAGGCCATGGGGAAGCAAGCCAGTAAGCAGCACCCTCATGGTCTCTGCAGCAGTTCCTGCTTTGTTTGAGTTCTGGTCCTGATTCTCTTCAGTGATGGCTATGATGCGGAAGTGTAGGCCAAACAAGCCCATTCCTCCCCAACTTGCTTTCAGTTAAGGTATTTTCTTCCATCATAGCCAATAATAACCCTAACTAAGACAGTAACATTTATCAAAGGAATTGGCTTAGAGGATAAGAGTTTTATTTGTGATGACTACAGGGCTGGAGAGACGGCTCAGCACTTAACAGCATTCACTGCTACGGCAGAGGATCCCGGTCCGGTTTCCAGCGCCCAAGTCTGGCGGCTCACAACTGATAGAGGGCCTCGGTGGTGAGACAGGGTTCCTATAAGACAGATACCATCTTTGCCCATCCTTACTCGTTGTCTTAGAAAGGGATATCTGTTGGGACAGTCTTACCTTGGGCAAACAGTTTTAGGAAAGAGAGACTACAGGAAAGGCATCTAGCCTCCTAAGGCTGCAACACCTTCATCCTCCCCTATAAAGGGTTGCAGCCAGCTTTTTTTCCCCAGCAGACCCCTCCATTTCCCTTAGGAGAGAGGCTGCCCCTCACTGTGTGTGCTAATAAACACAATTCTGTCTGTTGAAAGTCACATCCCCATCTCTATCTTTTTTTTTTTTTTTTTTTTTTTTTTTTTGGTTTTTCCAGACAGGGTTTATCTGTGTAACTTTGGAGACGGTCCTAGAACTCACTCTGTAGATCAGGCTGGCTTAGAACTCACAGAGATCCGCCTGCCTCTGCCTCCCGAGTGCTGGGATTAAAGGCGTGTACCACCAATGCCTGCTCTTTTCTGCCTTCTGTCTTTTTATGCTGCCTCAGAAATCTAACAACAGTCAGCTATAATTCCAGCTCCAGGGATTCCACGCCTCTGGCCTCTACAGGAACCTGTGTGTGTATGGCGGGAGGGTTGTCTCTGTGAACACCGTGGCCAGCAGAGAAACAATCCACGGGAGGCAAGAAGGCAGTGCAGTTCAACACAACTAAGTAGCTGAAGGCAGTGCAGTTCAACACAACTAAGTAGCTGAAGGCAGTGCAGTTCAACACAACTAAGTAGCTGGTGTTGATTCAAACCATGGGAGTCTGACCCCCTCCCCAGGGTGTTTAAGCACAGCACAATTTGGTGGAAATTTTTTTCCTGGTGATAATTAACTCATTGTGGGTGGGGCTGCCCCTAGGCTGTAGGGTCTGGGTTCTATGAGAAGCAGGCTGAGCAAGCCATAGTGAGCAAGCCAGTAAGCAGAACACCTTGATGGCCTCTGCATCGCCTTCTGCCTCCAGGTTCCTGCTTTGTTTGAGTTCCTGACTTCCTATGACGATGAATAATGATATGGAAGCATAAGCCAAATAAACCCTTTCCTCCTCAAGTTGCTTTTAATCATTTTTTTTATCACAGCAATAGTAACTCTAACTAGGACAAGAGCCAGAGGCAGGAAGATCTCTGTGATTTCAAGGCCACCCTGGTCTACATAGTGAAACCTGTCTCACAAAGAAAATCTTAACTTTTTATAGAACAATGCATCATTAAGGAACTGCTCAGGAAGAAAAATTTCATTGTCCTAATTAATTATAAACATTCTATGAAAGTATAATCTTCTTAGAGAATAAGGAATTTTTGTAATTTCTAAAAATTTCAAGGATATTTAATGACATCCTTGCCATGATACCAATCAACAAGCAAACATCCCTTATGTAGTAGCTATTAAAAGTAGAACATAGTAGTCATAGTGTGTGGGAAATTCCAGAAGCAAAGACAAAGTTGGTGCTTTTAAAGTTGTTATAGTTTAATAAAAGATGGACTCGTTCCTAATAAGTATACTGGGATGTACTTCCCATTGAGAGGCATTTAGTAAGAAGCAGTTCTTCTTTGGATATTATTCACTATATAATGACATCTTTGATAAATAGAAGAAATGGGAAGCCAGAGACACCTGGACAGTAAGTAAAAGAAAGGAACCTGAATTTCTTATTTCCATATAGAAGATAGTCTTATGACACTGACCTCAAGACAACATCCTATTGAGGTTCCAGAGCCTCCATGACATTGATGTAGTTCACAATTTTAAAACATGAGTCAAGAGACTGAGAAGGGATTGGCATTTTCCAGACCACCTTCTCTGGGATGGCAATACTTGTGGTAAGCCAAACACAAATTTTATTTGTGATGCCTCAAATAAAACAGTTTAGTTAATATTATATTATTTTCTGATAGCTGAGGGTATATATATATACATGCATATATAGATATGTATATACACATATATATACAATGTGATGACTTATGTATATATAAATGTGATAATACATAAATTCATACATATATACATCATCACATTATATATCATAGGCCTAGAAAGATACTCAAGGCATTCATTCTCTCTCCTGTTTCTTTGACATATTAAATGTTTATCAAAATACAAAGTGCTTGTAGAACAACTACCATGTTCATGCTCATAATGATTTTTTAAAAGAAGGGATGAGGTTGGGGAATGGGGGGAGGTTGAGGGCAGAGGAG